TGTCTCCCTGATCCTCGTCAAGGCTCGCTGCCATTAGCGCTCCCCGGGCGGCAGCGCGGCGGCACCCGCCGGCTATAAATAGGCAGGTGGAGCACAGCCACCTCGAGGCCAGAGCCAGGCCAGCCACAGGAGCCTCTTCCAGCTGAGACCATGCAGGTCGGTGCCCTGAGCAGGGCTGGGCACTGGGGGACAGTCCCCACGCTCACCTCCTGCCATGCCACCCACCCACAGATCTTCCACATGACCTACGACCTGGCCAGCGCGGTGATGAGGATCATCAACCTCATTGGGATGATGCTGCTGCTCTGCCACTGGGACGGCTGCCTCCAGTTCCTGGTGCCCATGCTGCAGGATTTCCCCCAGAACTGTTGGGTGTCCATCAACGGGATGGTGGTGAGTTCCATCTGCCCCACACCGTGCTCCTGCCCGCTCCCCGGGGCTCCCACCCATCCCCACGTCATCCATCCTCCATCCTCCAGCCCCAGGAGATGCCATCCCCCATGGGCCAGGGCTGTGGTGCCCCATGGTGCACGGAGCACCCGGCCCCAGATGCTGGTGTCACCCTGATGAGGTGTCACAGGACCTGGAGCAGGGGATTGATCAGGGTGGGAGGAATATGCTGACATGGGGCTCTTGGCCCCATCCCCTGCCGCTTTCTCCTGCTCATTAGCCACAAAGCTGCTATTAATAAATAATGGCTCCTGTTTCTAATTGCTGCCTCTCAGCCCTGCAGCCTCCTGCAAATGGCCCTTTTCCCCTGTCTGTCTCATCCTGTTTCATCAAATTTCCATCTCTGCTTTGTTCCGCCTGGCTTCCTCCTCTTCCTCCCCTGCCTGTCTCACCCTTCTCCTTCCCGGGGGAGTTTGGAAAGTTTGAAAAGTTTGCTTTTCAACAAATTCCTATTGCTGCGAGAGAACTGGGACTGTGGCCAGGCGTGAGCCAGGGCCCTCGAGCAATGCTCTCACACACACACACACACACACACACGCATGCATGGCTGAGCTGTTGTCCCTGTCACTGCAGAACGACTCCTGGAGTGAGCTGTACTCCTTCGCCCTCTTCAAGTCCATGAGCCACATGCTGTGCATCGGCTACGGGAAGCAGGCGCCCGAGAGCATGACGGACATCTGGCTGACCATGCTCAGCATGATCGTGGGGGCCACCTGCTACGCCATGTTCATCGGCCACGCCACCGCCCTCATCCAGTCGCTGGACTCCTCCCGGCGCCAGTACCAGGAGAAGGTAGGGCTGCGCTGGATGGGGTCACAGCTTTGTTCCCCTCCTGGACTTGTAGCCATGGAGGGTGAGGGTTCCCAATCAGGAGCAGGAGTGGGGTGGTGCAGTGGGACCAACGCCATGGAGTGGGGATGTGGGTGCAGGGTCCCAGCTGACAGCAGCTCTTCCCACAGTACAAGCAGGTGGAGCAGTACATGTCCTTCCACAAGCTGCCTGCTGACTTCCGCCAGAAGATCCACGACTACTACGAGCATCGCTACCAGGGCAAGATGTTTGATGAGGACAGTATCCTGGGGGAGCTCAACGAGCCCCTGCGTGAGGTGAGGGCTGGAGAGCTGGGAGGAGGATGGGGATTACCCCACCTGCCAAGGGAAGGGATCCTCTGCTCCTTGCTGTGGGTCCCACCAGCTCCTGCCATGCTTGGGGTCGAACATCTCTTGCTGCAGCTTTGCAACTCCGTGTGGGAGCGTGTCCATGCACAATCTGCATGCCAGAGTGTCCATGAGATTGGGGTGGGGAGTGTATCCCTGGGGAAGCATGTCCCATCTTCCTGGGCTCACCCATTTCCCCACAGGAAATCGTGAACTTCAACTGCCGCAAGCTGGTGGCCTCAATGCCGCTGTTTGCCAACGCCGACCCCAACTTTGTCACGGCCATGCTGACCAAGCTGAAGTTTGAGGTGTTCCAGCCGGGCGACTACATCATCCGAGAGGGCACCATTGGCAAGAAGATGTACTTCATCCAGCACGGCGTGGTCAGCATCCTCACCAAGGGCAACAAGGAGATGAAACTCTCCGACGGCTCCTACTTTGGGGGTGAGCGCTGGCAGGACTGAGCCTGGGTCCCCTTGCGGGTCTGTGAGAGTCACTGGGACACCTCTGCTGTCCCAGGGCACCCACTGCGTGCTGGTTCTCACACCCTGCTCCTGGCCTGCCCTGTTTTGTCCTCGATGGTGGAGTTCTGACCTTGGCTCTGGTGTTTTTCCCCCAGAGATCTGCTTGCTGACCCGTGGCCGGCGCACGGCCAGTGTCCGTGCAGATACCTACTGCCGCCTCTACTCACTCTCAGTGGACAACTTCAACGAGGTGCTGGAGGAGTACCCCATGATGAGACGGGCCTTTGAGACTGTGGCCATCGACCGTCTCGACCGCATCGGTAGGACACAGGGGGACCTGGGGGGCAGAGGGGGTGTCTTGGCAAAGGGGGCAGCTGTGGTCCCCATGGGAACCAGCAGCACCAGTACAGGGTCTCACGGTGCTTCCTCTCCTGGCCTTCTCCCTGTAGGGAAGAAGAACTCGATCCTGCTCCACAAAGTGCAGCACGACCTCAACTCAGGTGTCTTCAACAACCAGGAGAACGAGATCATCCAGGAGATCGTCAAGTACGACCGGGAGATGGTGCAGCAGGCGGAGCTGCAGCAGCACACGGCCATGTACAGCCCCGTCCAGCCCCAGGTCACCTCTGCCATCGCCACCCTCCAGCAAGCCGTCGCCATGAGCTTCTGCCCGCAGATGGCCAGCCCGCTGGTGGGCTCCATGGCGCTGGGCTCGCCCCGCATGATGCGCCGCTTGCAGTACGCCCAGGCCGTGCCCAGCCCCTTCGCCGTGTCCCCCGTCCTGCTGCAGCAGAGCCCCCCGCCGCAGCCGCAGCCCCCCGTGCCCCACGCCAACCCCTCGCCCTCGCAGGACCCGGCGCAGCCCACGGCCCTGCCCGCCTCCACCAGCGCCTTCGCCGCGGCCGCGGCCAGCCCGCCATCCCAAAGCCCGCTGGCCAGCCGGACGTTCGCCTACGGAGGCGCCCCCGGGCCGCTGGGCTCCCAGCTGTCCCTCAGCCAGCAGCCAGCGCCCAGCTCGCCCCAGCGCCTGGCCGCCCACAAGAGCACACAGGCGCTGCACACCAGCAGCCTCAGCCAGGATTCGCGGCCCCTCTCGGCCTCGCAGCCCTCGCTGCCCCACGGGCTGGCGGCCGGCAGCACCCAGAGCCCCCCGGCCTCCGCCCGCGAGTCCAGCACCTCCATCGGAGGGGGCCCGGCCGCCGCCTCGCCGGGCCCGGGCCCTCCGGCCGGGCTGCGGGCCCAGGCACCCTCACGGGGGGCCCCGGCCCACCCGGCGCCCACGGGCTCGGGGCTGACACCGCCGCCCGCCCTGCCGCAGGACTCGGCGGCGGCCCGCAAGGATTCGGCGTCCAGCACGCCCGACACGGACCCGGCCAAGTCCAGGCTGTCTTCCAACTTGTGACCTCCGCGCCGGGCACGGGGACACGCGCGCCGGAGGGGCGGCGGCGGGGAGCCCCAGCTCACCTCGCGTCCGCCCTGCGCCGCCGGGTGAGGGCCACGGCCGCGCCGCCGGCTGCCGCCCCCGCCACGGCGCCAGCCCCGCTCCCCGGTCCCTCCTGCCGCCCGCTGCAGAGCGGGGCAGCTGCCGAGGGTGAGCCTGGGGCTGCTGTGCCCTCTCCCCACCGCGGGGTCACTGGGCTGAGCCCCCGGGTGTGTCGTCTCCGACCAAAGTCTGACCCTGTCGCCCGCTCCCCGCGGCGAAGCCCCGCTGCCCCCTGGCCTCCCCGGCTGCCCATAGAAGCCACAGCTGCATTCTAGCCATGACCAACTCTGTGTATGATATCTATGACCTGAACACATCCCTGTGTGTGACCCGCAGGACACCTCCCTGGGGCTGTCGGCGCAGCCCCGGCACCGCGCGTGTCCCTGCGCCCCTCTCACAGACCCAAGGCGAGGGGTGATGGTCCAGGACTGGAGGTAAGTTGGGAAGGGTCTGAGGGATGGTCGCCCTGAGGCTTGTAAGCACCCACGAACACACTGTCCCCCACTCCGGGGCTGGGGGTGAGCACGCCCCCATGTCCCCATAGGCAGCGCTAGGACGGAGGCAGGCGCTGGAGCCCGAGCCCTGGCGCTGGGGCAGGCACCTGCCGAGCGTACCAGGTGCCTGTGCGTGTGTTGTGCGTGCGTGCGTGTGTGGGTGTGCGTGCAGGTGTGTGTGTGTGCGTGTGTGTGCACGTGTGCCTCGCTGCCTCGCACTCTGGAGCCTTCCACATTGAATGTACCGCGAGCGCGGGGCCCGTGCCAGCCCCGGCACCCTGCGGCCGAGCAGCCGGAGGGACAGGGCCCCACTCCAAGCGTCCACTTTCCCATCCAGCCCATCCTGTGCAATAAACGTCAGCAGCTGACAGAGCTACGCACGACTCCGGCTCTGCTTCTTTGCCACCGTCCCTCCCTGCCGCGCCTGCCGCTCCTCGCGCCCGCCCCGGGAGACGGAACACTGGGCACAGCCCCAGCTCAGGCTGTGGGATGCAGCTTTGTCCTTTGAAGAGCTGTGTCCCTTGCCAGGAAAGCCACAAGGTGAAAAGCCTCTGCCAGCAGCTTTCCCCTGGAAGAAGCTGGGTGCAGGCTGATTGTGAGCCTATGGTTATAGGGCACAGCTGAGAACCGGGCCAAACACAGCTCCAGTTGCAAGGTGCAACCATCTCCAGCACCAGCCTGGTGGAGAGGAGGTCTGGGAAGCCACAGTCCAGTGAGAAGGGGAGGCTCCTGGCTGGAAAAGCTGCAGTTGGTCCCTGTGAGAGTCCAGTTCCTGCTGTAGCTGCACTGGCACAATTCCATGTTTCTGCTACAAAAGCATTTTCAGAATGTCACACCCTGTGCCCAATCAGCCAGCAGAACAGAGCCAGACTGGAAGGCAGCAATCCCACCTCCCCGTGCCCCTGGCAAAGACAGGGGTCAGGCAAAGATTTCAGAGGACACAGGTCCCATCTTGTATGTCAAAAAACATTTTATTTACAATATTATACATGTTGACCCCCAAGTTAGTGGTTTTTCCTCCCTGAGCCCCAGTGAGCAACAGCAAAACTCATCCCTGGAAAAGAGAGTGAAGAGCAGAGGCTGTGCTATGGAGAGTGAGGACAGTGCCCAGAGCTGGAGCAGAGCACAGAGCAGCACCTGCCCTGTGGCCAAGAGCAGGGCTGGGGCTCCTCCTGTGGCCAGGTCAGTTGCCTGCCCCTCCAAGTCTGAGCCCTGCTGGCAAGACAGGGAAGGAGAAGGACAGCACCTGAGGACAGGCAACAGCCAGGCAAAGGACAGTGCTCACAGCACTGGGGTGAGGGCTGAGGGGAGCCACCCTGGCTCCTGCCACCCCTTTGCCCCCAGCCCAGAGCTGCAGCCTTCTGCAGGGCTTGGTGGCCTCTCCCCATGCTGGGACAGTAGTGACAGCAAACAGTGCAGAGCCCCTGTCCCCCACCAGCTGCTCCAGCAGAGTCTCAGTTTGCCCCAGCACCTCAGAGTGAGGCAGGGCTCTCGCTAGGCTGGATGCTGCACCTTCTTCCCCATGAGATGTAGAGCAGAAGAGCATTGCAGGCCTGTGCCCACCATGGCTGGAAGTTCAGAGGTATCCCAGGGCCCGGTGGGCTGCCAGGCTCAGCTGAAGAAATATGTGGAATCCATCACTTGCTTCAGGTTGAATTCACCTGAGGGGAGCAAAGGAGAGGTCAGAGGAGAGCAAGGTGGGGATGGACAGGGGGACGGAATTGGCTTCAGTGCATGAAGGATCCCTGCCCCTGGACTGTGCCGCCCATGGAGCCACTCCACACAGAGGTCAGGCAGAGCCAGATGGCCTGGCAGACACAGGGCTGAGGGATTAGAAGGAGTTAAACTAATTGTCTTAATCCCATTGCATGTATATCATCTAGATCCTGGCAATTACCGTGCCGAGGCCCTCGCTCCCATCTCCGAGCAAATGCTCATGGTTGGAAACAGATGGGAGCAGAACAGAGCAGGATGGGAAGAGCTGGGTCAGCCTGGGGGAAATCCCAGGGACTCAGCCAGGATGGCAGGGAGCACTCACAGGAATGCTCCAGGGGAATGTGGACATGCTGGACTGCTCTGCCCCATGGCTCTGCAGTCCAGCATAGGAGAGGAAACCTGATCCAAGGAGACAGTTCTGGCTTTTTGCCTTCTGGTGGTTTTGGGGGCCACTCCATCTCATTCCCCTTGTCTCCAAAATGCTCCTGAGCTCTGCATGTTCCTGTCCCATGCTCCTACCTGTCTTGGGAACATTCGACAGCTGCTCCATCAGCCTCTTCTGCCAGTGGGCTATGGGCTCTGTGCTGGAGCTGGATGAACTAGAAGGAAGCAAATAAACACAGGTTATCTGGAACCTTCTCTGCTCCCCAGTGCAGCTCCTGACAACAGGATTCAGCTCATCCAAAACAGAGTGAGAGCAGGAGCCCAGCCCCAGCAGCCCAGGGCAGGCCCTAAGGCTGCCAAACCCTCCCCTGGTTCTGCAGCAAGAGGGTGCAGAGCCCTGAGTTTTTACACAGCTGTTGAAGGTGATTTGGGTGTCAGGCAAGAAGGAAGGACAGCTTCCCCACAGAGCAACCCCCACGCAGGTGACACAACCTGCGAGCACCTGGACATGACCTCTGGGAGGTGGGGGGAAAATCCAACAGGTCAGGAATACCTGCAATACTTCTCCAGCATGAACTCAGACAGATCCTGCAGAATCTTCTCACTGTGCAGAGCCACGAACTGCTGCCGACACACCTGACCCAGGGAGACAACAGTGAGGTGCAGCTTAGCAGGTGCTTTCCATCCTTCCCCCAGTGACAGGTCAGGTGAGAGGCAGGGAAAGCAGCAGGAGTGGGAAGGGGGGCTGCCAGACAAGGGTGAAGGGAATCAGCCTGCGGAGGTGTGAAGCAGAGGTTGACCCTCATTAGCACAAAAGCCCTTGGGAAGGACCCAGGGCAGGGCAGGGCAGGGGCACTGGCTGCCAGGGCTGTGTTTAGTGCCTGTTTCCACAGATTCTCCCCACGCACTCCCTGCAGAGTGGGAGGAGAAGGGGCACCAGGAAATCAGCTGTGACCGCCAGCCAACATCCCAGGTTCACCTCACCCGGGTGAATCAATCAGCCTATGGAGCAAAGCCCAGGGGGGCGAGGCCTGGCATGGGCCCAGAGCACAGATCAGCAAGATCTTGCTCCCAAGGGAGCCAGGAGGACACTTTTACCTGGTTCATGACATCCACGGTGAGCGCGTGAGTCCAGTAGCAATCGTGCACTGAGACGAAGGTCAGGCCCTTCCTGGGAGGAGGCAGAGGTGCCATGAAGCAGTGCTGAGACCCCTCTGTGATGGACCCACCCCACGAAGAACCTCTGGCTGGGACACGAGCAGGGACCACACAAGAGGGGACTCCCTGCACAGCAGCTTTTCAGAGGGAGGTGGCCAATCCCAGGATCTCCCTGTCCCTGTCCCTGCTGCCTCCTCTCCTTCTCTGCCAGGAACCCCAAATGCCCACCCACCAGGGACTCCTCAGTCCTCTGAGGTGCCTTTCCCCAGCAATGCTCTCCCAGGAGACTCCTGAGCCACAGAAGAGCCAGGTGAGAGCCCAGCTGCTCATTCCCTACCTGAGGCAGTGCAGTGCTGTGAGCATCATGTGTGTGGAGTCCAGAGAGTGGATGAAATTGGGGGGAAAGGCATTCTTCTGCTTCACAGTGTCAGGTTTCCTGCAGGACAAAGCAGGGCACAGAGGAGCTGGGACATTTCAGGGCCAAAGATGACAGCACTGACACAGAGACAGTGACACCCCAGCCTGGGGGTGAGGGGGCTGCCCTGAAGGGCTCCAAGGCCCTGCTGCTCTGTCCAGCTTCTGCAGCTCAGGGTATAACAGGAGCTCTGGCACTCCTTGACAGCTTCCCTGATAGGAAGGCCTCGTCCCCAGAGCACAGCTGGGGCCAGCAGGGGTGCAGTGCAGGCCATGGTTTTGTACTTACTGGGTGCTGTTGGAGGTTTTCACACTCAAGCGCTGCATGCCACAATTCAGCTGTGGGGAGAGAGGGGACCAGCTGTCACCCTGCACTGCCTGGCAGCACCGTGGGCTGGGCACTGCCCCACTCCTCTGGAGAGGGGTCTGTGCCTTTCCAGTGTCCCAGCACCACAGCAGCTACCACTGCCCAGTGACACTTTACCCAGCTCCTCTCCTGAGGGTGCTGGCAGGCATCTGAACCCCTTCACCCTCTCAGGGTGAATTGGACCGGGAAGGGCTGCTGGAGCCGGGCTGGGGGGCTGTGAGTCAGCACAGCAGCACGTGGGAGGTGACAGCACTGAGACTGAGTCACACGAGCCCTGAGGAGGCTCTCAGAGCGGGGAACGGCCCGTGCCCCAGCTGCCTGAGTGGGATGGAGCCACAGAGCTTCCTCACCAGCTCACCCACACACTCCAGGCTCTGCAGGAAGCCATGAGGCTGGAGGATGTGCCTGCACTCAGGGATCCTACCTGCTCTGCAGGCTCACCCACCAGTGATGCCAACCTGCCGGACCCTAGCCTGTCTTTTCCCTGCTCCCACCATGGCACAGGGAGGCTGGGCCATGAGACCTGCCACTGGACACTCACCACAGTGGACCTGGAGCGATAGTAGGGCTGGATGATGGGCAGCCCCAGCGGTGTGACCCACTCCACCGTCCGGCCAGACTGGGCGATGAGCTTGGCGCTCTCTGTCAGCCAGTTCTTCAGAAGAGGGGAGGAAGCAGCTGGAGTTAGTGTGGAGCTGGGAGACCACATCCCCTCCCAGCACAGGCCAACCTCACTCCTGCCACAGAACTCCCCGGTGCTTACTGGGGGGTTTGGCACAATCCCACACCTCTGGGCTGGGGCAGGATGATCCTCTCTGGGCCAGGAGACCCATCTCTCCCCAGAGAGCATCCCCGTGTCTATGCATGAATGGACCAGGGAAGAAGAAAAAGTGGAGGTAAAGGGCAACAGGCTCCTTACCTGGATATCTCGAGTCGCTGAGAACATCTCCTTGATGCTGTTGAACACCTGCTTCACCAGATAATGAGATGCTTCCCACAAGTACTCCTGGCACAGACCAGAGGCAGAGCCAGGGTCATACAAAGGGACAGCCAAAGCCAGAGAGGAAAGTGACAGGACCCAGGGAAGGGGAGGGACACACAGGAGTGCTACCTCGGGGAACTCATCGATCTCCTTGAGGCGTTTCTCTATCTGCAGGCGGCCGCCGTAGCGCGTGACCCCGTACACCACCGTCATCACCGTCTGCTTCACCACCTTGCGGCTGATGAAGCCCTGCAGCACCTGGGCAATCTTCAACCCCCGCTCAGCATCCTTCTTCCGGAACTCCTCCACCTGAGCAGAGTGCCTCTGAGTCAGGGCTGGCATGAGCCACGCTGGCTGGAGCCCCCTGCGTGGCCTGTGGGACCCTCCCAGCTGTGCACTGCCTGGTCAAGCTCCCATCAGATCCCTGCAGCCCATTTTCACCACCCTGGATAACAGAAGGCACCTGCTGAAGGGTTCCAGCATGGATAAGCGTGCCTGCAGAGCCTTCTCTGCTGCCTTGGAACTGTCCATTGGCAAACGGGTGGTGCCAGCTGGGACAAGGATACAGCTCAACTGTGGCTCAGAGCTTGGGTTCTGCTGCCTCTGCCCCCCAGTGATAACTGAGCAAGCCCTGCAGCCCCATGAACTCTTCCTGCTCTCTGGTGTGATGCTGGCTGGAGAAAACCTGCTGAGACCCTCATGGGAGATGCAGGGTCCAATGCCAGCTGAATGAGCCTCTCAGCACTCTCCCAGTGGCAAATTTCCCAGTGCCAAAGAAACCAAAGACTCTGTAGCAGGACCAAGGCTGAATCTCTACCCACTCCCTCCAACTCAGCTCAAGGAAGAAAAATCTCATAACCCATGGGTCAGCCAGCTGTGACCAAGGGATAAGGAGCATCCCTTGCTCTCTTCCACCTCTCCAGCCTAGTCCTCCCAGGCTTCATTCAGGACAAGTGAGGACAGCAGGAATCCCAGGGGCTTTTTCACAGCCACCTCCATGAGGACAGATCTCAAGTCAGATCCACTTGGGGAACAGACAGTCCCTGTCTGCCCAGCTCATGCCTCCCCAGCCCTCTGCACACTCATCCCCACCTTTCTCCTTGGTAGGTGTCACCCTGTGCACGCCAAGAGGAGGAGGCAGGTCCAAAAGGACCCCGTGTGTCCCCACAGTGCCTCACCTGCTGAGCCACTGCACTGTAGACATCCTGAGGGAGCCCACAGGGCACCAGGTTGACGGAGGCAGCGCCGCTGAGATCCCGGCCGAGCGCTGCATAGTGCTGCAGCCCATTGCAGGAGCCATCCTGCAGGAACAGCACGAGGGAAACAAGGAGTTAGTGTGTGGACAGAGCTCTGCTCATCCACCCCCTCCCCATGCACAGGTACCCTGGGCTCAGGTGGTCATTATTTCCCCTTCCCACTCTTCAGAGCAGTGACCACCTCCCAGCAGTGACCATCTGCCTTCTGGCCAGGTCTCCTGCCCGAGTCCATCCCTGACTACTGTGACCTGGGAGGTTTAAAATCAGAAACCTCACATCACCACCTCTGTGGGTTTCCAAAGACATCACCGCTCTATGGAAACGCTGAAAACCAGAAAATTGGGAAACACTGAATATATCTGGGATGCTAAAAGAAGCCCCAAGAGCCAGCAGTCAAAACAACCTCAGCAGTGGGATCAGAGGCAGGAAAAGGCAGGCCAAGCCAGAGATCCCTCAGGAAGCCCCAGGTGGCTCTGCAGCTCCAACCAGCTGCACCACCAGCAGATGAAAACATCCCTCAGACAGAAACCAGCTCCCACCCAGATTTCCCAAAGCTGCATCAGAGGCACAGTGAGCCTCTGCCACAGCAGCTGCCCCTGCAGCCCCCTGGTACCAAAAGCAGCTTGGGTGAGACAGACAGGACCTGAATGATGGCACAGGAAGATCTTGGTTCTCCCCAGACTGCACTGGCAGTGACGTTTCTCACAGATGTGCTGCTGTTCCTGGCCCCCTGTGCTCAGGATCTCCCTGGTCACAGGGAGCCACAGATACCCCAGGACTGTCAGGTTCCTCAGGCAGGGCCCCCTTTCTCCTGCACCCTCTTCCCACTCCCTGCAGTGCAGTAAGGCAGCACCAGGATCTGATGGCTCTGTTAATTGAGTACTGATGACTCAGGCTGAACGAGACTCTGGTACCCTCCAGAAGAAGTCCTTGCTGATATTTCATTAGCTGCACCCTCCACACACCCCCAGCTGCTCTCTTGACCTTTTGTTGTCATCAAAATACCAGACCTGACTGTCTCATGTATATTCCAGGCTATCACTACTGGCAGAAAAACTGCTGCCCTCCCCACTCAGTCATGGCCACTTGATCTCCTCATAAGAGGAAGGAGTAGCCACCCCTATCAGCCCTGTCCCTGTGCAGCCAGGGAGGACAGTGCCACCAGGGCACCTGGTGACAGGCCACTAAAGGTGGGGACAACCACCTCTGTCCCCGTGCCCTTCCTCAGAGTTCCAGACCTGCCATATTGGCTCTTGCAGAGCTGCTTGGCTTCAGCCTCGGAGCAGGAGTGGAGCAAAGGCCTCCAAAGCACAGCTCCAAGCACTCCAGAGAGCCAGGTGTCGCCGTGCTGGGCCAAATTCCAGTCCTGATCCTGTGGTTGCAGAAGGTGACACTGGCCTGGCTCTCACCCTGTGGCAGCTGCCAGTGAGCTCCCAGCTGGGCTCTGCTTGAGCCAAGGCAAACGAGGCAGCCTTGGTTGTACCAGCTCATGGATGGCTGCAGGCAGCAACAAATCACCAGAGTTCTCATGCCAAAATGCCCAACACTGCATTTCCATTCCTAAGAAAAGCCAGCCAGGTGAAGCAGGGATTGCAGAGCTGGAGACCTGGATGCTCCTTTCCTGCCCTGCTGAGCCTCACACGGACTGTGAGGATCTGCCAGGCTCCTACCTGGTGAACTGGGAAGTGAGAGATGTAAGCTGCTGGATCTGGGGACCTTGAGGCTTTGGCGATTTCCATACAGCATGCCAAGGCTTGCCAGGGCTCATCAGTGTCCATCCACCACTTCCTGCCCTGGAAAAGAGAAAGCCCAGGCTGGTGGGAGTGGGCAGTGCTCCTGTGCCCCTCAAATCACAGACAGGGGCTCCTGAGCACCTGGGATACACTGGGCACAGCACCTCCCCCCACCATGCTTCCACTTCCCTAGTCTTCAGACAGGAATGGGTTATTTAGGAATCTCTGCATTGCCTTCTTGTTGCCCTGATTTTTTAAGTTTTTCCAAGCCTTCTGATGTTTACATTCGTGTAATGAACTTTCTCACATACTTTATGTAAATAACTTATTGTTTTGCACTCTTTTATAGAAGAAGAGAAATTTGATGGACTGTTAAGTTGGTCCAGTGTCATTGGAGAGGTGGCACTGTCACCCTCCAATCTACTGTCACTTTTAGAAATCTATAAATATTGGAGTCAGAAATTAAAACCACCTTTTTTACCTCGAGAAAGCAGCGTGTCTGCACCATGTTATTTCGTGTCCTATAGCGACACGTTCTCCCTTTTTACCTCTCAAAAGTGTGTCTTTCAAAATGGTTTTGTTACAAAATCTATTCTGATTTCTGTCTTATTTCACTTCCCAGAAGCTCCCACGTACTGTCAGTGGGTGGTCAGCCGAGTCCAGGATGTCCTCCATGATTTCATTGGCATACTCCAGCCGCTCCTGCAAGGCGTTCTTCTTCTTCAGCCCCGTCAGGTTGATGAGGTGGATCTTCAGCCAGTCAAGTCCCTTGGGCCCCAGAGGCCTCCCCTCTGCAAACAGCAGGATGGCCCTGGTGACATCATTCCCCAGGTGGTTGAAATAGGGTGGGCATGGGTAAGTCCTGCCACGGAAGTCCATGTTGTGAGGGAACCAGAACACCTTGTCCCTGACGTAGTTGGCGATGGAGAGCTTGTAGAGCGCGTCCATGCGCAGGCTGTGCATCTCCGCAGCCTTCTTCTTGCACAGGAACACCTCGTGCTTGAAGGTCTTGCTCCAGGTGGAGGAATTGCCAGGAGGAGTGGGAGGCTTGGGAGCCTCAGAGAGGGGTGGTGGGATGTCCAGCTTCTCGTCCCCTTTGTCATTGAAGATGGAGATGATAATATCCAGCACGGGCTGGTTGATCTTCCAGGCACAGTTGCCCAGCTGGTTCAGGGCATCCAGCACGGGGTGGAGGTTCACCAGGGGACACTGCTCCAGGAGCAGCTGGTGGTAGGTGGTCTCATCCATGAAACGCATCAGTTTGGTGTCGTTGAGGACAAAGGCACCGAAACTGGGGGAGGTCCAGGGCACCGGGGGGCACAGCATGGGCATGGCAGAGGAGTTGAAGGTCAGCATGGTCTCTGCAGCGTTTGACACAAGCTGGGAGAAGATGGGATGGGGCCTTATCAGCCCAACCTGGAGAAGAGGATCAGCAGCAGAGGATTAGGGCTGGAGTGTGGAAGAGCCTGTGGTCAGTCAGCCATTCCACAGGGATCATGCCAAGTAAGGAGAGCACCCACACAGAATCAAGGGTTCCTCAAAGCATCCCCGAGCAGGAATGGCAGCAAGGACAGAAAAGGGCCTTGCAAGGGTCTGATTTTGAGGAAGGAGTATCCTGCACGGCCCTAGAGCCCCCAGGATGAGGCTTACCTGCCAGTTACTGTAGAAGGAGTAGACGTGGTAGAGGACAGGGATAGGCTTGGACTCCAGGCGACGACTGAGGATGTTCCTGGGCACCTTCACAGCCTTCACCAGGAGCTCCAGCATGTGCATGCCCAGGCGCATGAGGAGCACACACGGCCAGCTGCAGGTCGTCAAGTTCAGGGAAGGCCCAAAGCCTGCTTCTGCCACCAGCTTCTCCCAGTATTCCCGTGGCAAGTAGTGTTTAGGCTGGGAGGTGGAGGGAGAAAATGGAGTCAGCTGGAGGGGCTTTGCTGGATGGGATCAATCTACCTGGGATGTGGCTTTGAGAAGGACTCTCCTATCTTTGTGTCCCCAGAGGTCCTCCCTGATAGGGGTGTTTGGGAAAGGAGGGCTGAGCAGGTTGGGCTGAGCCTAAAAGTGAGAATGGGAACAGTGGCACTGCAAAGTCCTTCCTCTTGACACACCCCAGTGCTGACAACCCCGTCCCCACATTATCCTGCCCCTACTGCAGACCTGCCTGCCCCTATGAGCACCCAGCTCCGAGAACAACCTGCTCACCTGGTCCTTGAGGTGCCCAGGGCAGTGGCACTGACCCCTTTCTCCCCTCTCGTCCTCTCCTGGCCTGCAAAGCCCAGAGTTTCCTGCATGGGACTCCTGGCTGCAAAGGCTCCTACCTGGCTGTCCTTTGCCAGCAGCTGGATGTAGTTCTCATAGATCTTCTGCACCTTCTCCAGCTGGCCGCTGCGCAGCTTCCTCTGGATGATGTACCTGTCATAGACCTTGGTACCCAGCTCCCTGGCCAGGACTGCCAGGGACTCACCTTGTGGAGACAGATCATTGAGGATCTGGGAAAAGGGAAGGCAAAGAGGGTCTTAGGAAGGAGGAACAGAGAGACACAGCAGAGAGACAGAGCAGGAGTTAAAACTGCGGTGCAAGGAGCACAGAAAGATGCTGATTTCCATGATACTGAACAGATGGTGAGGAAGGAAAAACAACCAGGACAGAGCATGGATTTCTCTGGCTGCTCTACAGAGGGAGCAGACAGCCTGCAGCTATTAACTTGGTAAACCTCTTAGGAAATTCCAATTCTGCTCAAGTGGGACATCAGTGCTCTGTGACACCCCCGTGGCTGATAGTCCAGCCCCACTCCTGGGAGGGTAGAGCAGGCTCCTACCTGCAGCATGATGTCCACATACTCCTCATCTGGCAGCAGACACAGGTAGGGGTAGAGGATGCTGTACTTGGACAGCCTTTTGGGCCTGGCCATGCTGCGCTTGGAATTCTGCAGGGCCTGGAGGATGGCATCGTGCCACTGGGAGCGGAGGGTGCCCAGCAGCTCCCGCTGCATGGAAAAGGAAGGAAGAGAGCTGGTTAGCATGAGCTGCCCTCTCTTTAGCTCATGGACCCTCAGCTCTCACCCACAGGTCCTGAGGGCTGCCCCAGACCCGGGCTTTACCGCTTTGATGGCCTGTGGGGTCAGGGGCTTGGCTGCCTCCACTGACTCGATGGTCACGGTGTTCTTCAGCTCCATCTCCAGCTGCTGCTGGAAGCGCTCCTGCAGCTCCTTCTCAGAGAAATCCACCTTGGGGTATGACCCCATCATCTCCTGCAATGGCAGAGAGGCAGTCAGTGCCTAAAGTAGGAGGAGAAGCCATGCTCATTCTCCCAGCTTCCCTGCAAGAGGCTTGTGGTACAATTCTGGGCTGAAAGCACCTTGCTGGGATCTCTGGGCCCAGAGGTCTCTGGCAGACAAACCCCAAAGGCTGCTCTGCTCCTGTGGTATGGCCAAGCACCTGCCCAAGCACCCCCTCCCATGCATGGAGGCCATCTCCAGCCCTCTGCTTTGCTGCTCCCCTGTAAGGCTGTCAGTAATGTCATTCATTTGATGATTTGTGTGGGCTATTGGGCAGACATCAGGTTAAAAGGTTCTTTCTTGCTAGCCCTCCCCTGGGCTGTACCTAAGAACACCACCAGGCCAGCTTCAACACCTCCCTGAGTGCTGTGGCTTACTCTGGAATAGAAGTCCTGGAGCAGAGAAGACTTGCAGATCTTGGGGCTGGGTGGAGGAGGCAGCTGGTAGTTGGGCTGGACAGTCCTGATGGCCCACAGCACCATCTCCTTCTCATCTTCCTCAAACAGGCACTTTTGGAAGAGCTCATCCACATGGAAGCCACTGCTGTTCAGCTTCTGCAGGTATCTGAGGAGGTGCAGACAGGACAGGCTCAGTCTTCCACAAGGACCTGAGCAGTTGTGCAGGAGCTGCTGGGGCAGGAGCTGCCTCAGCACAGCCTGTCCCACAAGGTCACCCCCCGCCTCAGGTTACAGGGATCAGGTGTCCATCCCTCAGCCTGCACTGCTGCAGAGCTTCCTGGGCAGAGAGGCCACTGCAGGACCCAGCTGCCCACAGGCAGCCCCACAGCCTGTGCTGCACTGACACAGCTCCACACCAGCACAGTCACTGCCAGCCCCCTCAGAGTGTCAGCTGAGTGGAGACATTCCCCTGAAGGCATCTAGAACTCATCAGCAGCCAAAGGACAGAGAGACCAGTGATACATCCCTGAGGTACAGCACTAGCGCATCAGAAGCTTTCTCCATCCTCTGGAGAGGAGCTGGCTGTGCCTCCAGCCCCAGGCACTGCCCTTAGGCCCAGCCTGTGGGATCTTCCAGGGCTCTTTCAGCTGCTCCCTTCAGCATTGACACTTTCCTGTCCATTATGCTCCATGAAATCTACCTCAATCTCCTGACCAAGCTCGTCTGGAGAGCCCTGCAGGAACCAGCTATGTGACTGAGCCCACCAAAATGGGCAAACTCCACAGAAGTGCCATAAAAACAAACAGAAGCCAAACCATTCCCACCAGGTAGCAACAGAGGGGCCAGAAGGAGTGAGATTCCTGGGATGGGTGTGGAACCAAGGAGTCCCTGACTGGAGAGGGCCTCTCCCAGCCCAGCTCTGGGGGGAACAGTGCCTGTTCTCACCTCCCACATCTCCCCTCCCTGCACAATCTCAGACAAACTCCCCAGCAGCTGGGGGTGGCAGGGAGGGTGCTCTGCCCACCCCAAAATCTGGCCATGAGAAGTGGCTCAGAGCATCCAGGTGGGCACACAGGAGGGTCAGCTCTTCCTGACCCCAACCCACTGCATCCCCCAGCTCACCAAGCACAGCATGTGGAGCTGCTGCTCCCAAGGCTCAGCAGCACCTGAGGCAGGTGTTACCTCAAGATGGCTTTGGGAGGTGACTGGTTCCGGCCCATGCACTGCAGAGCCACGGCGTAGGAGTCCAGGTTGGGCTGGAGGCCAGAAGCCTCCAGGATGGAAAACAATCGGTCACACAAGAGTTCCATCTCTCCTTGGAGCCCCGCTCCAAAACAGAGACACCAACCTCTGTCTGTCTGAGATCTACCTGCAAGCTGGGGCCCACCCCAGCATCCCAGGAACCCACCCCAGCAACCCAGGAATCCACCCCAGCATCCCAGCAACCCACCCCAGCATCCCAGCAACCCACCCCAGCATCTCAGGAACCCACCCCAGCATCCCAGGAACCCACCCCAGCATCCCAGCAACCCAGCAGTGTCACTGCCAGGGACAAAGCAACAGCCCAGGCTGGTCTGCCTGCTGTCTGCTCACTGCATCTCTCCCAGCACTCACCTTCCAGCAGCTCTGTCCTCTCACAGGGGCCATTTCTGTTTGCCTTCTCCTTGGTGCTGGCAGAGGAGTAGCTCCTGAAGATTCTCCACGGAATCCCTGCCGTGAACGCAGAGGTGTTGGGGTCAGAGGAAGCTCCACACCCTCAAGCACTCCGTGCCCCACTCTGCCCCATGGCCCCAGCTGGACACAGCATGGACAGAGTGAGAGAGGGATGTTTCTCAGCAGCAGCACAGGAGGGCAGGAGGGACAGGGCCACCCCTCACCCCCCGGAACCAGAGGCTCAGAGGGAACACGACCCCAGGGACACCACAAACCCCAGCGCTGTCAACGGGGCGGCAGCACCCCGAGACCCCCAGAGCAGGCGGGCACTATCCCCCAGCTGGGACACGACCCAGAGCTCCCGAATCAGCCCTCTAGAGAGTAACAACATCCCGGCACTTCCACAGCCCCGACTCTACCCCTGGGGCGCTCACGATGCAAAAAGACCCTCCCATCTTCCAGGTGTATCCCGGAGAACCCTCAGGATCGTGGGACGTCCCGGCCCAGCTCCGCCCGCACGCTCGGGCCGTGTCCCGGTCTCCTCGTGTCCCCGCCGGTCCCTGAATGCCCCCCGGTGCCCCCGTGTCCCCCCGGTGCCCGTTCGCGCTCACCGGGCCCCCTCAGCCCGCCCGGGCCCCTCAGCACCGCCCGCAGCCTCAGCAGCGACATCCCCGGGCCACGCGCGCCGCGCGCAGCCGCGCATGCGCCGCCCCGCCACGGGGCACGCCGGGAGCGCGAGTCCCGCCGCGCCGAACTACAGCTCCCATGGTGCAGCGCGGCCGCGCTCCGCTCCCCCTGGCGGCCGTGGCGGCCCCGACGGGGTGGGTCGGAGCCCGGGACACGGCGGAGGGTCCGGGCGGTGGCGGAGCCCGGGGAACACGGGAGCCCGGCTGACCCGCGCCTCTCCGGCCCGAGCTCGGCGCGTCTCGGGTCGGGCCACAGACGGACACCACCGTCCCCAGGTGCTGGGCCACAGCAGCCCCGCGCCCTGCGCCTCTCCCCGCGCTCTGTGCCCGCGGCGCTCGTCCCTTGCCCGCCCATCGCGGCTGACGGCGGATACCGGAGTGTGCCGTCCCCAACCGGGCGCCCCGCGATCGTAGGCGAGTAACCGGGACCGGTGACCCGGGGCAGCCGTCGGGGCGCGGATTTATGAATGGGAGGCACCGCCCCAGCCCCCGCCCCGCCCATTCGTCGCCACCGCCCCGCCCCGGGCCGCCCATCCCCGGCAGCTCGCGCCGTCGGGGCCGGTCGCCGGTCGCCGCCGTGGCCATGGCCCATCGCCCGTCGCCCGCCTGTCGCCCGCCGCCCGCCGCCATGAGGCGCGGGGGCCCCGCCGCCATCGCCGCCTGCCTCGCCGGGGCACTCGCCGTGCTGGCGGGGCCGGGACCGGGACCGGGCAGTGCCACCGGGACCGGCCGGCGGCCCCCCCGCAGCTACGGGCACCTGGAGGGCGACGTGCGCTGGCGGCGGCTCTTCTCCGCCACCCGCTTCTTCCTGCGCATCGACGGCAGCGGCGGCGTGGAGGGAACGCGCTGGAGGGAGCGGCCGGGCAGTGAGTGGGGACGGGACCGGGGACCGGGACCGGGACGGGACAGGGAGAGCCGGGATCTGAGGCCGCCCCCGCCCACGGCGGGCGAGAGCGCGATCGCACCGGCTGCCGGGGCTGCGGCGGAGGCGGGCGCTGCCGGGGCCGGACCGGGGCGGAGGCTGGACGGAGGCGCCTCGGGTCGGCGAGGGGAGCCCTCCATGCCCGGCCCGGAGAGAGCCCGCGGCTCTTCCCTCTGGGGAAATCTCAGCCAAAGTGCCCGGTCCTCCGGGGGCGCGGGAGCGGCCGGTCCCCCCTGTCCCCGCTGTCCCCCGGCGCTCCGGGAGCGCAACCGGCGCCGGCTGCCCTCGCCCCCGTCACTGCACTGCGGGAGCCGTGAGAGGGGCGCGGACACCGGCGGGCACTGCCGGGGCACCCGGCGTTGCTTTCGCAGCGGCTGGGGTGTCCTAGGGGGTCTCTCGGGGGTCCTTTGTTCCATCTCCTCCTGCCAGTTCACGATGCCTCCCTGCCCTGCCTTCCCCATGGACTGGGAGGATCTGATCATTCCCCCACTAAAACACTGGGGGGGAAAAGGCTGAAGAGGAGGAGGGGGGATGTAGGAAGCTTTGCGGTGATGCTAGTCCCAGAATGGGGCAGCTGTCCGATGTGGGACAGCAGAACATCCCTGTCAGAGAGGACCATGGAGCTGCCACTGCCTGCAGAGCAGCTTGGGACTCAAGACAGGTGGGTGGGCAGAGGGACAGAGTCCCCAAGGACGTGGCAGTCCCTGTATGGCTTCAGCAAGAGTCAGGGCTGCAAGTGCCCAGGTATCAGCTGCCCATCGGGGTGCAGGGTCCCAGCCCCTGGGACATGGATGGGGGCACCAGGCTGGCAGGACAAGGACAGGGATCATGGGGGCCTTGGGAAAGGGGGATGCCTGAGCATCCCTCAGGTGCCCTGACAAGGTGTAGGGGTTTGGGGCAGGAGGGCTGCAGGACCCCCAGCCCAAGTCCTGGTCCAGCAGAGGCTGCCCTATCTCCTGGTCAGCACAGGACGTCTCCCAGCAGCCACAGGACACGGGAGCCAAGCCCAGCCCAGGGAACCCTCCTGTGGTGTCGGAGGCTGTCGGGAGTCCCGACCAGGCACACTGCCAGCACAAAGCACCCCAACACGTTCCCTCGATGGTGTGGCCATGGGACCTGGCAGGCAGAGCAGCTCCGGGCTGTACATGAGGCTCACTCTGCTTATCTGCGTGCGCCTGGGCTGGGCGCGGGCTCTGCTCCACAGCCCTCGCAGAAGCTGCTGGACCAGCCCCACTGGCAGCTCTAGGGTGGCAGGGGATCTTCCAGGGACTCCCCCACCTCAAGCCCTGCTCTGCCCCACCTCCTCGAGACCCCTCTGGGGCTGAGTGTGACTGGGAGCACTGGGAGCTGGCTCTGACCAGGTACTGGCCAGGCACCTGCAAACAAAGAGCAGCAGAGCCGGCCAGAGCACTGGGAACAGAAGGGGGTTATTTTTAGAAAAGCACAAGTCCTTATAAATAGCAGCAGCTTCAGACAGTGATCAAGTGGGATGGATTCACAGGCGTTTGCTCAGCCCTTCCCCTCCACAGCCCTCATCAGTGCCTTCCCGTGGCAGCACTGAAGCAGCTGGGCTGAAAATCCCGGGGGAGCCGAACGCTCGGGAGCCCTCACGCTGCCCCAGTGCTGCATCCACCCTGCCCTCCCAGCCTCCCGCAGGCAGGTGATGCCCAGGGAACGCCAGCAACGCCGGGAGATTGATGAAAGCCCTTCCCTAGGGGCTGCAGCCCCCATGCTGTGTGTGCCACCAGCCAAAGCCGTTGTGTGTCCTCCCACCCTGTCCAGCCCCTGCAGTGGTGCCCAGTGGCCGATCCTGCTGTGGCTCCAGCCCTTCCTGCTGCCCTGCCCACACTGCTCTCACTGCACATTCCTTCTCCCCTTCCCACCGTGCCGTGTGCCTGGCGGGCGGGCAGCGGCACTCCGGGCTGGCCGGCGTGAGGCAGTGCAGGAATCCAGGGGCCCCGATGATGCTCTGGGTGTTTCCCCGTGCCAGAGCCGCTGGTCTGACCACATGCCTTTCCCATTAGCGGCCGAGCCGGAGCTCGGCGGTCGGGGCACACGCACGCCAGCCCAGCTGTGGCTTCACAGCCCGGCTGCAGCCGCCCCCCGGGCTCATCCTCATGTCCTGCTGTGCTCCTCCACCCGCCAGCCCACAGTGCTTGGCACACGGCTGCTTGTCCTCGTTTGTGCCACTAGGAAACCCGGCATCCACAGACGGCACTGTCCTGGCATGTTCCTGCCCCTGCAGAGCTCTGTCCGTGTGCCTTCGTCCACCAAAACTGCCAGCTGCCACCCCCATGCACACTTGGCCCTTTCAAGAGCCACGGCAGCCTCAGTGCCCTGCGTGTGCCCGGGCCGGGCACTGCGGGAGGCGGGTCAGGGCCCCGGGGCACCGCTGGGGATGGATGAACGGGCAGAGCTGCCAATGAGGGGAGGACACACGTGCCATGTGCTTGGCATCCCTCCCGCACAGCCCCGCTTCTGGGAAGTGGCTGGACCCTGGGGAGGAGAGGAGTAAAGATCAAACCTTCCTTGGATCAGAGGTTCCTCCTCCCACTCCCAGCTTGGGCTGCAGCCCTTGTTCCTCTGGCTGCTCTGCCTCTGGATGAAGATCAGCAGCTCCCTCCCTGTAGAAGGACACTGGCCGCAGAGCCAGCAGGGGCAGGGCCCCTCGGGGAGGTCTCCCGTCCCTCCCTGGCTCATGCCGCGCCTCCCTGTCCCGCAGGCATCGTTGAGATCCGGTCGGTGCGTGTCGGCGTCGTGGCCATCCGGGCGGTGCACACCGGCTTCTACCTGGCCATGAACAAGCGGGGGAGGCTCTACGGGTCGGTAGGTCGGACGCTGCCTCCTGGGAGGGACTGCACCAGAGTCAGAGGCTCAGGGCAGAGTTGGAACAGGGTCCTGCTTTCCCGTGCCCTGACCTGCTCCCCCGCAGGGGACTGCACCCACCAAGCCCCTCTGCCCCTTGGGGACCAGAGAGGAGCCAGGGTCCTGCCCTGCCCCACTCTTGGGGTCCGAGGGGCTCCAGCTGAGCGTAGCCACCCCTCACTCCCTTCCCTCTCCTGCCAGAAGGAGTTCAGCCCCAACTGCAAGTTCACGGAGCGCATCGAAGAGAACGGCTACAACACCTACGCGTCGCTGCGCTGGCGGCACCGCGGCCGCCCCATGTTCCTCTCGCTCAATAGCAAGGGCAGGCCACAGCGAGGGGGCAGGACACGCCGGCAGCACCTCTCCACACACTTCCTCCCCATGCTCGTCAGCTGAACGCCGTGGGCAGATCCAGACGGTCCTGTAGGAAGAAAAAAAAAACAAACAAAAAAAATGTTATTTTATTTATGTACATATCTATTTTTTGCTATTTATTGCTCTATTTTTAATGCACGGCAGAGGAGGGATGTGGAAGGCAGATGCTCCAGACTCAGCCGTGCGGGGCTGTGGCTCTCCCACTGTTTCCAAATTTGCCCTAAACCAGGACACCCCGGCACAGAGCCGGTGTGGTGCAGCTGGGGAACACGACTGGAGCAGGGGCCAGGATCTGCTAATGGCATCTCTGCAGGGCTGGGATGTACCAGCAGGTTGTCTGTGTCCGAGCTTCCGTGGCAATTAAAGCTGTGTTCATGGTATGGAACAGGAGCAGGTCTTGGAGCTTTGATGGTGAACTTGGCTTGGATGGGAGGGATTGGTTCCCGTGTGGTTGTGGCTGCAGCCACCAGTGTCATTGCTGCCACTGGCAGGGAGCCCAGCTGGTCCTTTGCCACATCCAGCTTTTCATTGACCCCCACCCACCCTGCAGGAAAACAGCCACGGTGGTTCGGTGGCACAAAGGAGGGAGCAGGAGGAGCAGGAGCCAGCCCAGATCCTCAGGCAGACAGCTCCAGGGCTGTCCCTGGCCACAGCCAGTGCCAGTCAGTCCTTCAGCCTAGCTCTGCATCCCCAACAAAAACACAGCTGGGACAGTGGACAGCGGTGAGGACCAGCCCCTCACCTGGAGGGCAGCATGGCCAGGAATAGCACCTGCGCCTCAGCGTCCTGGCCAGGGTACATCCCTGCACCACCTCACACCTGCCTTGGCCAGGCCCAGCATCCCGGTCACTGTCACGTCAGACAGAGCAATGGCCCCAGCAAAAACCACCAAACTCGTTCCATTTCTGACCCAACCAGCTCCAAATGAGTCTGAGAGAGAACAGCCACTGTATTAACCATGTGGTGACTGTGGTGAGCCCCTGCCAGGTGGGCAGCAGCTGCCATGCACCCACCTTGGACTTTGCTCAGCCCACTTGAAACCGATCTGAGCACTGCTCACACATGAGAAATCATCCCCAAGCACCTGGGGGAGCCAGGACGCCCCTGTCACAGCTGAAACACAGTGGGACAGGAAAGGTTTTTCCAGGTCTCTTTTTTTGGTGACTAAACAGCAAAGCCTTTCCTCGGTGTCGGGTCAGCCGATGGACACGTGCAGGTTCAGCTGGGACCTTCTTGCTGCCACCCACCTCAGCAGCCCAGGCTTCTGGCTCAACCCCTGGCAGAGGATGAGCCATTAACCCCGACACACCAGTCCCGAGATAAACCCTCCTGTGAGATGAAAGGCGCCGCCACACTGCCCGGCCAAGCCGAGGAAGAAAAACAGTCCGGGCAAGTCACTCCCTGCCAGCCCCTGGCCCTGGCACAGCTGGTGACACTTTCTCCAACAAACCAACTTCTTGCGTTCTGAAACGACTCAAGAAAGACCAAACCATCCTTCCCCCTCCTAAAGGAGGTTCATCTCTTCTCAGGAAGCTCATGGAAGGGCCAGGTCCTGGGGTGATGCTGCTTTAGAAGACACCTGAGCTCTGCTGGAGCCACCACCTTCCCCAGCAGCCCCAAAAGCCAAGGGAGAGGCAGGGAACCCCCCAAACTGCCAAACCCTCCACCCACTTCCCCGGCAGCTCCCATGGGGGCAGGTTCTCCCTTGTCTGCTCTGGCCTCTGCCACAGAGCAGTCCCAACATGTGGTACCATCACGGACCCCCAGCCCTCTAGGAAATCTCCTGACCACCTCAAGTGCCTGTGAGGGGAAGGGGTTCCCAGTGAGGGATGGTGAGAGCTTCTCCTCTCATGCCTCAGGGCCCAGGAAGCAGGGACATGGCAGGGAGTCACTGCCTGCTCTGGTGACATTCTTGTCATTCTCCGAGCTCCAGCTCTGTCACAGAAACTGAGTCACAAACATACCTGGATATTTTTCTCTCTCTCCTTGTTTTAATCAGCTCTATTTTAAGTAGCTTTGCAATACATTTTTTTTTTTTCTCCAAAATGTTGTTTTCCTGGTAATTACTCGGTCACAATGAGATTTGCTGGTCCTGGTTCTGCTGCACACCCAGTCCTGTGTCGGCCCAGCAGAACAGCCTGCCCCAGCTGCGAGGGGGGCAGGACTGTAAGGGGAAGAAGGTGTAAAAAATAGAAAACACCAGGCGAGGATGATTCCAGCTGCGATCCTTGGCTACCTGTGCAGTGATCCACAGGCTGGCAGTGGCTCCCACCGGAACTCCCGGCACGCAGGAGGGCTCAGAGAGGCCCAGCCTGCCCGGGGAAGGCAGGACAGCTTGGTGGCCTCAGAGCTTACCCTGTAGCTTTCCTCAAATCATGCATAATGGCTCGCAGAGCTGAAATGTCCATTTATTGACAACAGTAATAATTTAAGATTATAAAAACCCCTTTCAGTGTTGAGTATCAGCGGGCGAGGTTATAAAGAGAAATAAAAGGGACTCGAGGTGGGACAGGGAAGGATCCCAGGGTCTACTTGAGACTTCCTGTTTCAGTGACAGCTATTGGTCCTCCCCAGATGGTGATCCTGGGGGGAGGCAGCATCCTTATACTTCCATTTTAGACGTCAATCTCCAAAGCAGAAAAGATAGTATCCAAGGGGAGGAGGAGCAAAAGAAATAAAAGAAAGGGATCTCAAATTCAAACCCATACAAACAACCTTTCCATTCGGGATTCAACCACTCGCTCAGCACCTCGGGGTTCCCAGCCGGGGAGCGCAGCAGCCTCGCACTGCAATGGGTAAAGTCCACGCAAAGAGGATGTTTTTATTGACAGACAGAGCTCTTTCCCCCCTTTTTCATCACAGAACTTGAGGCTTCTCATCTCTGAAGGACCCAGAGGCTCCGTGTCTTCAGAAATCAAAAGGAAATTCTGGGGGCACCGCTCCTGCCTCGTCCCCTCCCCTCGCTCTGCTCTGGAAGCCCCTTTGGCTGCTCGCGGTGGCCAGGGAGGGAGGGGGAACAGTGGAAGGGCCCCAGGGACAGAGGGTGCGTTAAGATTCATGAGTTGTTCGATGAGTTTTCATTACTTGGCGAGCTGGAGGAAGAGGAGGAGGAGGAGGATGACGAGAAGTTCATCCCTGTGAGTCCTGGGGGGTTTGTGGCAGTGTTTTGTCCACTTAAACTTTTCCGGCAGACGGGACACGTGTCATGCTTTGGGGAGCAGACAAAAAACAAAACAAGAAATATGGGAAACGGGATTAGAAACACAACAGGGGAGCAGCACTCGAGGAATGGGCTGGGATGACACTCCATCCTCTGACCACAGGCTGCTGGTGCTCAGGCCTCATCATGGAGGTAGGAAAATATTTACAGAGGGGAGCAGGACCAGACAAAGCCCCCAGTGCTGCACGCCCCAGGCACTGCCCTGCACTCACCTGCTCCAGCCACGGGACGATGCAGCCGTCGTGGAAGAGGTGATTGCACGGTAACTGCCGCACGTTCTCCCCGACTGTGTAGTCTTCCTTACACACAGGGCACTCCAACCCGGAATCTGCACGGCACAGGGAAAGCCAAGCCCAGCTGAGCAAAGGAGGAGAGAACGACACGCAAAGCCCCCGACTCAGGACTCATCATCCCTCTCCCCTTCCCTGCCACTGCTCCATCCCTGTCAGGAGGAAAGCTTGGTGCTCTGCAGTCCCCACACCATCACCCCACCTCCCCCTGCCCAGGGTATGCCTCATCCTTCCCTTCCCTTTTGCTTTTCCATCTCTATCCACACTGAACTTCTCACAGCCTCCCCAGGGCAAATCTGTCCAGTCTACACTGCTCTTTTTTTGTGTGAGTATAACAGAGCCCCTTCAGCTCTCTGCCCATTTTGAAATGTTTTATGCCTCAAAGGTACAAACAGACAAAATTCAAGTCCCAAGAAAACATTACAGAGAGCTTCCAGTGAGCACCCTGTGCTCACTATGCTCAACTCCATGGAGCAGACACATACCTACGTGCTCCTGTGTGATCTGTATGGTGGGGAGGGCCTGGATCTTCTCTTTGTCCGCTGGTGGCGGTCCAGTGTTTTCAAACTGATTCAGTAACTGGAAAAACAACCAGCCAGGCAGGCAGAAGAGAGAGGTGAGCTCAGCAGCACACAGAATCCACTCATTTCCTGAGCCAGGGCACCTGGACCCTGCACTGTGGATCCTTTCCCATTTCAGTCCCCCAGCCACTCATTCCCTGCACCCCCACAGGTGCTGCCCCTCCTGCAGCACTGCACAGGAGGATGGAGACTGCAGTGAACCCCACTTTTACCTGTGTGATAATCGCATCCAGGCCATTGGCACCCCAGGCGTAGTCCATCGGATTTGAGTGCAGGACTCCCCTGAAGAGCAAGGACAAGTGAGTTCATCCTGGAGCACCAACGAGACACTGTCAGAGAGAGCAGTACATCCTCCAACTCACCAAGGGCCCAGGCCTAGGTTCGGAATTGTGGTCGGTGCAATAATGCCATTGACCAGCTGCTGGATAATTCTGAAAGACAAGAAAACCAGGATTGTGTAAGAATTAAAGTTTGCTGGCTCCCAGCCCAGCACCCCAGCATGGAGGGAGAGGCTGAGTAAGCTGAATACTGTCACATTGTTGGGGGCAATTAAAAATACCCTACAGCAATTGCAATGGCAGCTTAGGGAGTGATCAGTCACTGATAAAGTTTCAGTATTTGATTCATAAGGGGACAATTCCTGACATGATGAAGAATGGCTCCCAGGATGCACTTACACAAACACCGTCTGGTGTTCTCTTCTGTTTCTCCTCATGGCAAGTACAACATTTTTGCAACACCTGGCAATGACCAGGGAATATTTTCCCACTACAGGACAAACACCCAAGCACAATCCATGTCACCACCCAGCTCCAACAACCCCAACAGACCCCAAAAGCAGGAGCTGCCAACAGGCTCAGCCGGGACACAGATGACACCCACGGCAGTGCTGGAGATCTTTGGGATGCTGCTCCCATAAGCCAGGAGAAAAGGTGAGAAAAGGCTCCCTCCTGAGGCGCCAGAGTGGTTCTCACCCTTCCAGCGTGGGGACGCCCTCGTGCCTGCCCGAGGCTCGGCGCGCGGCCAGGCGGGCGCGGGGCTGCCGGGCGCCGTAGCGGTGCCGGGACTGGTGCTCGCGCTCCCGCCGGTTCTCCGAGTCCCGGTTGTCTTCCGGCTGCACGTTGGACCCGAAGGGAAATTCAAAGCTGTCGTCAAAGAAGCCGAAAGCAAACTGGCCATAGCCCGGGGGCAAGGTGAACAAGTGCTGATCCACGTTCTGGAGGGAATGCAGAGAACAGACTGTGACAAGAGGAGGAACAGCCCTCGGCTCCCACGGAGTCCCAGGAGCTGCCTGGGGTGACACTGGGACCAGCACCCTCGGCAGCAGCTCAGTGAGGAACAGACACTGGAATTGCACACAAAGGCAGAAATAATCACAGTTCCCTGGTTTCTGTTTGGTGTGTCACTGCTGCTTCCGAGCTGAGGCTACTGCATAGCAACACACCCAAATCCTGCTCTCCAAATCCTGCTGAGCCCCCTCACGACGGGAATCAGCTATGAGTGATGGTCCTGTGTAACACACACAGCAAAAATATGGTATGTGGAGATTTCAGCAGGAGCAGCATGTGGAGGATATTAATTCCTCCTTTCCAAATTCTGTCATGATCTGGGAAACTTTTAAACAATGCACTATTGGAAAACACTCAATCCAACAGCAAAGCAGAAGGTGTTAGAAGAGAGAAAGGACTTGCTCACCTCAAAAGGATGCCTGCTCTGATCAGTGGCTGATGTGGAGGAGCTGGTCTCATTGTCAGCATTCCTATGGAGAATGAAAAGCACTGGTAATCTTCTCACAGCGGCTTCCAAGGCTTTTCTGCCCCACTCCCATCCCAGGCAGCTCAACAGAACCTGGTCCTCCCTCAGCTGCTGATTTTCTGATTGCCTAGATCAATTTTCCCTCCCCCTTTTTACCCTACCCTATTAGATCTCACAGGCTACAGAGAAGTGCCTGAACCGTGATGTCAAGCAAGGATTTGCCCCACAATCCATCTCAAACACACCAGCTAATCCTCCGGAGCACCAGGAAGACTTAAGGCACAAATGCTGCTCACTGTGACCCCAAGACACAGAAGTCTAATCTTGAATCAAAGAACTTCTCTACTGCAGAAGCATGTAACCCAACGGCTCAGGATATTGGGAAAACTCTAACTGTTGTCAGACTTCTGCTTTCAGAGCTGCAGGAACATTTCCTGTTCAGAAGCAAGCTTTGCATTCATGGTAACAAAACTGCTGAGATTCAGCAACTGTGTGACTCTGCCAAGGTCACAGGGAATCACCAAAACAGTCAGGATCAGCCAGGACAGATTTTCTGGCTCCAGGGCTGGTGATCAAACCAAACATTACCTGCTCAGTGCAGAAGCCCCAGGCTATGCACCACAACCAGCAGGGAGCAACACCCATTGCCCCTGGCCCCTGCACAGGCCTGTCCTGGAGCTGGTCAGAGCTGGGGCCCCACAAACACAACTGAAACATTTGAAGACATTCCTGCTGCTCCTGCCACCAGCGGCAGCAGAGCAGCACAGAAACACAGACCTCACTGCTCCAGGGCAGAGTCCAAAGTCTCAGCCACAACATTTTGCTGTTCATTTCCAACACAGTCACTACTTAGACTGAGCTGTCCGTGCAGTCACCATTCCCAGATCCCTCTCTCTGGGGTTATCTCTGCCCTGATGACTCAGATCAGGTCAGAGCCACCACACAGCATGGGGAAAGCCTCCCTACCACTTTTTGTGTTTGTTTGAAATCAAACCATTCCTGCCCCATCCCTCAGCAGAGACACTGGGCACTCAGCACTGCCGTGGCAGATTGGCCTGTGGATGCAAACTCTGCCAACAAAGCAGTATTCCCAAAGTGAGGAAAGATGAGCTAAAGCTGGGGCACAAGCAATAGAAACGGTGCATTTTATATCAAACATTGCCTTTGAACTAGGAAGAGAGTAAAGCAACCTGGGCTCACTGGAGCACCAGCCCCTGGGGCAGCACATTACCTCGGCTCCTCAGGAAGCTCTTCAATAAAACCAGACTCACACCGTGGGCAGATGTAGTCCTGCAGGAGAAGACACAGCAGGTGAGAGAAGGAGGTGGTACCTCAGAGCTGCAGGGTCCTGCAGTCTGCCATCCCCAGCACATGCCATGGTCCCAGAGCCAGAGAGACCCCAAACCCCAACATCTCCTTTCCTGAGCTCAGCCTAAGCCTGTGGGAGCTCAGCTTAAAAATGATGAGGGTGATGCTGATTAATCCCCAGTACAGACACAGCACTAGGTACCTGCTGATTAAGTTCCAGTGAAGTGAAAGTGAAACCCCCAAGGCTTCCTGAGCAGCAGCCCTCAAACTTTGGCCCAGCTGTGTGTTTTGAGGGGCAGAACACAATGCAGGAATGGCAGCAGGGACTCAGCAAGGTCCTGGTGCTCAGGGAGGCTGAATGGTCCCTGTCACTAACACAGCCTGGGGTTCACAGCACACAGGGACACTCTGGGTTGTTGTGCAGCCAGGACCTCACACTCCCACACCCAGAGCTCACTACAGAGACCTGTCACCACCCCAGTCCCCGGGCACTGAGTGTGCCAGGACAGGCTGAGTGTGCAGCCCCTGTGGCAGCCACCTCCCCACAATTCCTGGAGTTAGTGAAGAGTTTATCCTCTACAACCTGTCCTGGCAGAGCAGCCCAGATCACTGGAGACCCTGAAAAGGAAATGTTTCACTTCCCAGTGCAGCACAGAGCCAATCCCATCCCCTGCCCCACGGCGGGCACACACCACCCCAAATCCCTGTGCTGGCAGAGCTGGGCTCAGCACAGAAGGCATTTAAGAGCTTCTAAAAACAATGCCACTTCCTTTTGCTGCTGTGTTGAATTGGCACAGCCCTGAGCCAGACTGAGGGATTCCCCCAAGGAGCTGAGTTGCTGATAAGGCCCTTGGGGTCGCTCCTCTGGCCCCTACAGCCGACCCTGATAAGGCCCCAGGGAAGGAGCAGAGCTTGGAGCCCCTGCACGTGTCCCATCTGCCCAGGGAGATACAGGAGCTCTGAGCTCAGGAGCAGACTGGGAGAGGTGGCTGCTCCCTCTCCTACACAGCACTGCCCGTCTGCTGCTGTGGAACAACCATCTCTGTACCACTGACACCAGGTCTGAGCTCAGGGTCGCGAGCTCAGGGTCTCCTGTGTGAGCACAGGGGACTGTAGCCCATGAAACCCCCTGCCCATGAAACCCCCTCTGTGCTGCTTCCCACCACACGTGGCATGGGGGTGAGTGACCGTGGCCTGAGCACACTGCCCCAGGGAGCTCTGTGTGTTCTGTGTGTGTTGTGTGTGTCTGTGTGCTCACAGGCAGCTCCCAGCACAGGGATCAGCACATTCCTCTGCAGCTGGAACAGCACAAATGTCAAAGTTTGTTGTTTCTGGGGCTGTTTGAATCCCTCCTTTGGCAGCGCTGGTTACTGCACCTGCAGATGGTGAATGAAACCTGAGGGAACCCCAAAACAAGCTGATGAACTCACAGACCTGAGCCCCCAAACACAGAACCCGCTCCCTGCCTGGCCCAGCCTGGCAGTGAGGGCCCAGCTGGCACAGCCAGGAGTGCCCAGCCAAGTGCACACAAGCAGATGTGAGCACAGCCCAGCACGGGCTGTTTGAACAGAAATAAAGAACAGATTTCCTGGGTTACCTCCCGGCTCCTGCCCACAGCCCACGTGTGCCCAGCTCAGTGAGTTTGCCCTCACTCTTACACACGAGCTGGGAGCTCCAGCATGGCCCACCCTGGCCCAAACGAGAGGGCAAAAGGACAAATCACACGTCACAAAGCAGCCACCCCGACAGGGACAGCTCTGCTTATCCTCAGAGACTTTTCAAGTAGAGTGCCAGCACCCAGCAATGACTTTTGGGACCTGGTGCTGTGAAAAGTGTCAGGATAAAGAGACCAGCAGCACTCTCCAAATCACATTTAACATCTCAGGAAGCCAAGCAGGGCGACAACTGATCCACCAGATCCTCCCTAACAGCCCGCACTCCTTTTCCACCCACACCAGGACAAGCTCCACACACACACACACCGGATTTTGGTGTGTGATTCAAACACCTGCCCAGGTGCCTACACAGCACTTCTACCCACGTCCTGCCGTGCCCCTCCCTGCGCCCCAGCCGCCCCCTCCGCGGGGCTTTTGTCGTGTTCATGAAACCCCCCTAAAAAACCACCGAGAAACCCCCACCGCCCCGCGCCGCTCCACCGGCCCCGGATGGGCTCAGGCTGATCGGGCTGGGGGTGTCACAGCTGGGCCCGGGGGCTGCTGCCGGACGGACTCCCGGCCCAGCCCGGCTCCCCGCGGGGCAGCCGGAGTGCTCGAACCGCCGCGGGCCCCCCATGCGGGCGGAACGGGGCCGAGGGCCCCTCCCGCAGCGCCGCCCCCGCCGCGGCTCGCCCAGCTGCTGCCCCTCGGCCAGGCTGGCCCGTTCCTCCCGCAGAGCCTCTCCCCTGCTCGCCGCAGCCCCGTTCCCTCGCTACGGACACCTCCCCGAGCCCCGGTGGCACGGGTGGAGCCCCACACGGCAGCCCCCGCCTCCCGGCCGCTCAGGCCCCCTGGGCCCCTCAGGCCTCGCCCCCACGTGCCCGCCCCCTACGGGGCCCCCGCCCGGCCCTGTCCGCGCTTCCGGCCCTCCCCGGCGGCCCTCCCCGGTCCCCCGCTCACGGGCAGGCGCGGGGCGATCTCGGCCGAGCAGCAGTGGCAGAAGAACCGGCCCGGCTGCGGCGACGCCTCCGCCATCTTCCCTACCCGCCGGCCCCGCCCCCCGCGCGCGCCGCGGCGCCGACGGCGGCCGAGGGGGGACAGGGGACAGCGAGTGGCGGAAACGCGGAGGTGGAAAAGGGCAGAGGGGGCGTGGTTAATAAGGGGGCGTAGTTAATTATATCAAGCGAGTGGGCGTGACTTGGCCATATAAGGCGATGGGGCGTGGCCGGGAAAGCGGCGGGATTGGATTCCCGATTCCGGGAACTCCCCTGCATTCTGGGAACCCCCCAATTCTGGGAACCCCCCCAATCCTTCCTACACCCCCTCCTCCCCGGGCTCCTGATCCCTCTCTCAGCCCCACCGGACCCCCCAGCTTTAAAATAAAGCTGGCTTATTGATTTAATTTTTAAAAGAAGTGGGAAAAATGAGTTGGGGAGAGGGGGAGTCCCCCGAAAGGAGGAAAAAGGGAGTGAAAATCCCAGTGAGAATCCGGGGAGCTGCTTCAAGATGCAATAGCCCCAGAGGAACTGCAATGTTCTGTTTTGGCAGAACACTTTCAGGCTGGGTGTTTCTCCCAGACTTTTGCCCCTTGGGTGTTGGGGAGGTTTTTGGGGTTGAAAGGTGGAATCTCGGTTTTTGGGAACCTGAGAATCCCACCTGCGGCTCGGTTCAGGGCCAGCGTTTTGCCCAGGCTGCAGCAGAGGCTCTGCCTGGCCCTCACTGGGGTCCCAATCCTCAGGGGCTGTTGTGTGGCACTGCAGAGCCAGGGTTTTGGGGTGATTTTGGGGTATCCACGCGATATGGGTGATTTTTGGGGTGATTTTGGGGTATCCACGTGATATGGGTGATTTTTGGGGTGATTTTTGGGTATCCACGTGATATGGGTGATCTTGGGGAGATTTTGGGGTACCCACGCAATATGGGCGATTTTTCGGATGATTTTTTGGGAGATTTTGGGGCATCCACGTAATATGGATAATTTTTGGGGTGATTTTTGGGAGATTTTCGGGTATCCATGCGATATGGGTGATCTTGGGGAGATTTTGGGGTATCCACGCAATATGGGCGATTTTCGGGCTGATTTTTTGGAGATTTCGGGGTATCCATGCGGTATGGGTGATCTTGGGGAGATTTTGGGGTATCCACATGATAGGGATGATTTTTGGGGTGATTTTTGGGAGATTTTGTGGCATCCACGCTATATGGGCGATTTTCGGGCTGATTTTGGGAGATTTTGGGGCATCCACGCGATACGGGCGATTTTCGGGGTGATATTTTGGGGAGATTTCGGGGCACCCACGCGGCGCGGTTGCGGGGCTTTGGGCAGGGGGATTGCGAGCCTGCGGGGCGGGACTGGAGCGGCAGAACCGCGCGGTTTGAAGAGTTCCGCACAGCGGGGGCTGCGGCGTTTCGGAGTTCCGAGCCCGGGACGCCAGCCCCGCTCCCAGCAGGTGGCATCTTCATCCCGGGGTTTGCCGCTCCAGCTTCGCCGGATGGAGCCGGGGAGGGATTTGCGGAGCTGGGCAGAGCGGGGACAGGGGCTGGACGCTGGTGGCACCCAGCTCTGCAGGGCTGGGGCAGGGTCAGCAGCTGCCAGGGCTCGGTGGCCGTGCGGGAATTGCGGAGTTACAGCGGCTGATCGACGATGCCGGCCGCCGATAAGGCGCGTTGGCATTTATTTACAGGTGATGAGGAAACCGTAACTATTTTATTCGGGAGGTGGGTCCAGACAGTGCGTCGTGGCCCAGCCCGGAGCCAGACAGAGCCCGGAGCCCCAGCGCGGAGCCCGCGGCTCCGGACGGGGCATTTCACACCCCGAGGGAAGCTCCTTCCCCGCGGCTCTCCGTGCCCTGTTTCACCGTCGGAGGACAAGTTGCCACTTGATCAAATGGGTGCCGGGTGCCTGTGGGATGGTGAGGAGGAAGGATCCGGCTCCACTGACTTTGTCCCTCTGGAATTCCCTGACGCAGGAGCTGTGGAAGCTGAACGTGGCAACACTCGTTGGGATGCAAATGGCAGCGGATGTGGATGCTCACGGAGATAAGGGCAGCAGAGCGGGCGCACAGCAGTGGGGAGGGTCCCCCAAAAGCCCCTCGCTCCCCTGTTGGGGTTTGCCTCCATGTCAGGACTGCAGCCACTGCCCATCCCTCATTGCTGGAGAGGGGATTGCCCTTCTCTGGGGGCTGAGGCTCCCAGACAGCCCTGCCTTTGGCCCCAGCCATGATTCCTCCCCACAAAGAGCATGAAAATCCCATGGAGACCCCATCTCTGATGGTGCTCGGGCACCCCGAGATTGGGGGTTCTGTGTTTGCCTGTCCCCCTTCCTTCTGCTGCCTCCGAGGAAGCTGCGTCTGGTCAGGAGCAAATTTGAGTCACCCAGGGAAGGATTTTCCCACGGTGCTGCAGAAAGGCAAACTGCACCCTCACCTGAGAGGGCTGACGAGGAGGTGACACCTCCCCAGGTAGGATCGAGTCATCATTAGACACAGCCCGCTCCCAAATCGGCCACCCCGCTTGGGAAGGGCAGCGGAAAATCTCCCAGCAGAAAATCCCAATGTCCGAGGGGGTGGCACAGGCTGGGGGGCTCCTCCAGCAGCTCAGAGCCACCATCCCACCTGGGCTGAGCAGTGGAGGGGACACATGCCCCAAAGAGGGGGTCAAGGGATTCCTCCTGGCCTCTGGACGCTGTGCTCCTGAAGAAAGTGGGGACTGGAGCTGAAAGCCCCTCATGCCCAGGTGCTGGAGGCACAGGGGCAGCTCCGGGCACGGGCTCATCCCAGGCTCTGCCTTGAGCCCTGGGAAGCACAAGCACCTCCTGGAGCCAGAGCAGCTCCCAGAGCAATTCCTGCCAAGTGAGAATAACTGGTGCAGCTGGTCTCCCTGCTCCCCTCCACCCCACATCATATATAATTGCCTATTTTAATTAATAAATTGGAGGCCACTCAAAGGAAAGCGGCGAGATTCCTTACAGACACTGCCGGGATTGTCTACCCGCCCCGAGCCAGTCGTGTCACGGCGGATTTGAATCGGTTTCCTTTGAATTTGCTCAGACAGATCGAGAGATTTACATCCCCCACCTCATCTCCTGGAGCCTCACACCTCCAGGCTGTGGGTCTGGATCCCACCTGGCAGTGATCCAGCAGCTCACGGTGACCCGGGAGCAGCGGCACAGGCTGAGCCCCGTCCTCAGCACCCTGGGGGGATGCTGCTGGAGGGTGGTCCCCAGCCCCCCATGCCTCTGATCCCTCCATCAGAAGGGCTGGTGGCATCTTGGTGGTCCTTCCCTGGCCCAGCTGTGCTGTCCCAGTGGCTCACCTTCCCCTGGGAGCAGCCAGGGCAGAGTGGCTCAGGGGAAGTTCATGGTCCCAGGGGGCTGATTTTAAGCTCCACCAAAAATTTTCCTTTCTCTTGTTTTTTCTTTTTGGATTCTTTCCCTTTTTATGCTTGGTTTAAACCATTGTTCTTCAAGGGAAATTTTAATGTGAAAAACATGCTTTTCTAACAACTGCCAGCCTGGGCCAAGCAATGAGGCTCTTTGGCTGACAAGGGCTGTGTGGCAGATGTGGGCTCCGGGGAGGATGTGACCTGTGGTGGCTCTGCTCTTTACAGGCCCATGGGATGGGGACCCACCAGGCTGGCAAGGCTGGAATGCTGGGATTGCAGTGCCAGTGGGGTCCACGGTATGGCTGGTATGGCAGTAGCCACGTGTGCCACCCCAATAACCAGCACCTTGCTCCGGGAGCGAAGATCAGAGCAGCCGCTGCCCTTCCCGGTGCAGCTCTGCTTCCTCCAGCAGCACCTCTCCCCAGCCTCACCAAGGAGCCAGCAGACTTTAATGACCCGGGAGGTTTTCCTGGCTCTGCTGGACCCGGTTCAGCCCCACACGGTTGCCCGACGTTCCCAGCTCTTCCCTCCAGGCTCGTCTCTCTCCTGCCCTTTGCCGCGGCAGCGTTCGCGCTGGGAGCCCGCACGGCCGCCGGCGCTGACTCACGGCTTGTTTACACTCACACACACACACACAAACACACACACGCAGAGCCTGTGTCACCGCCGGGCCAACCCCACCGGGCTCAGCCATGTGGGCAATGGGATCAGCCCGTAAGGAGCTCGCTAAGGTGGCTGGAAATCAGCGTGGACAGGAGGGGTGGAACTGGAGCCACGAGCTGCTCCTGGCTGAGAGGGACACTCTGGTGGCTTCTCCAGGCTGGGCTGCAGAGTGGGATGGGATGGGATGGGATGGGATGACTTTGCTGGCTCTGGTCACTGCTTTCCCACATCCCAGCCTTCCCAGTCCCTGCTCCATGTTGCTTGCACCTCCTGGCTCCCAGCACTTGCATTTCCCCAGCACGGACGGAGCTCAGAGCATCTCCCATCAGTTCAGGGCAGAGCTGGTGGCGCTGAGACCAAAGATTTGAAAAGGAGAGGCATTGGGCAAGTGCAGCTCTTGCTGGGGGCACCCAAAGCACTGGAGAAAATTACATTTCTGAGAAGGGGAGAGGGAGTGAAGCCTCCCAGGGTGATGCTTCCTGTGGTGCCTGCGGGGTGCTGGGGATGCTGGTGCCAGCAGCAGGGAGGGGGTCTGGGTCTGGGCATCAGCAGGAGGGATCAGAATTTGATCAGGAATCAAACAGAATGGGTGATCAGATTTGGAGGGGCAGGTCTTGGGAATGTATGTCAGCCTCCTAGCCTTCCCTGAACGCTGGCGCTCCCGCCCTGCCTTCCTTCAGCCACAGAAGTGGAAGTGTCCCAGCAACATGAAACGATTACTTGGCGAGGAGAATCCAGCTCAGCACTTCTTGGCATTTGTTCACGGCTTTTCATCTTCAAAGCTCCTTGCAAACATTAGCAAACTAATCCCTGCAACCTTCCTGGGAGATAGTGCAGGATCAAGCAGAGGAGCATTATCTCGCCTCAGCAGATGGGGAAACTGAGGCACGGAGCGGTGACGCTGCCGCCCCGGGGCGCGGGGCGAAGCTCCGTGTCAGCGCTGGGGGTGGAGTGAGCCCATCAAGGTGCCGTCCTGACACTCTCTCCCCAAACAAACCCTGAGTCAATTCACCGGGCTGGAGCCGTGAGGATGCGGGAGAAAATCCTGCCGCAGGCTCAGGGCTGCCGGCAGCGGCGGCGGGG